TATATTATTCAAATATATAGAATAATAAATTACTTTAAAGACAAAAACAATATCTGAAAATTAAACATCTTAAAATTTGTAAAATAATTCATTAATATATACAGAATACACAATGATTAAAATATATTAAATGAAGATTGCAGAGATTTTAAAGATGGATTTTAAGTTTGTTTTAATAAATATAAAATATAAATCTAAAATGATATCTAATTATTATCGTTATTTAATTTTTTGTAACCAATGGCAACCTAATACAGAAAAAAATAATAATTTTTTGTGAGTCAACTCGGACGAACTCTTTTTGGCATAAAAAAAAAATTAATAATTTGAATTCAAGGCTAGTTTTCTTTGACATAGGGTAATTCACGTATCAAATTTTAGAACTATGAATACGATAGACTTAGCTGTAGATAGCTTACTCACTCACACACACAAACAATATATTTTATTAATATGGATAAATTGTTTAATTGAAACGTCTGATTTGTTACATAATATAGTAGCTGAGGTATTTTATAATAGACATATATACAAACATTTTTTCTGAAAATATCATCAATATTTTGGAATCAACTAAAGTAATAATTTTTTTTCAAAGCTATTCGAGCACAATAATTGACAGCATAATCAGATTGTCGAAGATAATTAATTATAATTATCTTTGATGTTCTTACCTAATTGTATTTGTTAATTTTCAAAAATTAAAGTTTTTTATAATGATTTTCATAGTTATATAACTTACTCTAGTATATTTAACACAATCCCGAATTCGTACATTTCTATAGATTAACATCGCACATAATATTTTATAGTTAAAAAATAATGAAAGCAAATAAAATTTCACTGTATGAAGTCTTAACGTAACCTAATTTTTAATAGTTTCATCCTGATAAATACTTTAAATTGAATGTACCTATATTTTAATGATTAAATATATAAGAAAAAAATAACATTATTATTTTATTATTATTATTATTATAATTATTATTATTGACATAAATTAATTGTGAAACTTAAAAATATTTTGGATCACTAAAATTATAGTTTTTATATCAGTGTATTGCAATGGAATAACCATGAGATAACCTTTCTAAATTAACGAGTTTACGAATAAAATGTAATTGTCACGATTTACAATGTCAATATATTTGTATAATTTGTTTATTTTTTACATTTCTGTTCTTAATGTGGCTGTTTTTATCATTTAAAAAATAGCATTTATTTGTTATATTTTATACATTGAGTTTTTTTTATATCTTTCTAAAATGTATTTTTTATAACGTCAACGAGTATTTTAAGTCGATTATTTTAGTGAAACAAATCAGTATTCAAGTTGAATTTATTAGTAAATTATATGTGGTAATGTTTCTTATAGCTAAATATTATATTTAATACTAGTTTATTAATATTTAAAGATTTAGAAAAAACAGATTTGTGTACAACATAAGACTAAAATTATTTTCTGTTAATTTATTGTTATTTAATTTTATTGTTATACATTATGAAATAATATAATTTAAATTTTAAACATCTATTTTCAGAAAACGAAATTCTAAATTTCTATTTTATTTTATTTTTTTTCAATAATACTATCTGTACATTGTTAGTTACAATTTAATTCACAGAAATTACAAACCTAAACTATTCCATAAATTGTTCGAAAGTTCCTCCGTTATATAGAATTCTTAAGTAGCCAAATCGTCATTTCATAAACATATAAACATTTATTTAATTTCTAATAATGGTGTGTATTTTTCTTTCCATCAGATTTATAATTAGATATCTATTAAAACTAAGAAGTTATAGTTTAAATTTTGTTAGAATAAAAACCAAATCATAAATAATCATGAAAATGTTCAATTACTGTTCATCTACGGAAAGTTTAACAAAAACGCATGAAAAGTAACAAGATTTTATGCCCAGCAATATCCAGATCGGTAACACTCCCATTATACTTATGTTTAAAATCTATGAAAGTCTTTGATAGAAAATGGTTCGTTTAAATTTTAATAACACAAATGCTGTTAGGTAACAACCTAGTGTAAATCAACATTTAAATAAAGTAATTAAAAATCAAGTTTTAGCGTATGTACATCGACCTTAACGTTCGTCTCTTAGACACAATGGATATAAAATTGTCGTGCTCAAAACTTAAGTTTATTGGATTAAAAAAAAAAACAAACTATAGTTTTACCAATGAAAATTTGTCGAAAATGTACATATAACAGACCCAGTTAAAGTTTAAATTTAATTTCTTGGTTAATTGGTATTAGTTGACAACTACCTTGGTTCATATCAATATCCATTGTTAAGCACTCGTGGAGGTAACCATTCTACTGTTGCTAGTATTTTATATATTAGACCAAACGTATCAATACATACATACGTGGTATATTAATTTGATTTGTATAATAACTTTTTCAACTGCTGAATTTCTTTTTCTTCGGCTGGGCTAAAAAAAATCATTAAGTGAACATTTTCATTTTATCACAGGTAATACTAAATAGTAAATTATATTAAATATACTACATAGATATTATAAATCGCATAAATCAATTAAATATCAATCGAAGAAATAGGAACATATCTACACAATAAAGAAGCAAGAGAGCTTAGATAAAATTCGTTATTAGATTATATTAATTTTTATGTGTTAAATACGGATGTACGTGAATTATAATACGGAAAGGTTAAGTACATAAAATGCAATTGTAAGTATGCGTATAACTATTATAGTACTTATACATATAAGTAATGGTGTGTACATAACTTTAACATGATGGAGGGAAAGTAGAAAAACTTTAACTCATCACTAAAATATCAAAATGGCATTATGTATTAAAATAAAAATATCCTTGTAAATATAGAAAAATAAAATATGCAAAACACAAGCCTTCCAATTTTAAATATTTAGTGATTTTAGCGTATTAATAAATGCACACACATACATCATATGCATACAAAGAAATATACAAATGTATTACAGTTTACATTTTTCTTTATGATAGTATTATTTATTTAATTACACTAGAACATTATAAACACATTATCTTTTATATGGTATTTGGTATATGCACATTAGAAAACTATTAATACCATTTAAAGTATATTAAATATTTTAACCTTGCCATTTGGTGAAAATGGATAAATATACTGATATCGTATAGGTATACAATAGGATAATATACAATACTACGTACCGACGCGTGTCCAACATAATTTTTATATTGATTTTGATTTGATTTTTATATATTTTATTACTAAACGAAAATTTACTTATTGAATATATATAGAGTTTGTTTTACTTATATATATTTATTTAAAATTTTAATATTAGTGGCGCTAATTGCCAAAATAAATCTTTAGATGTGGCGCAAGTGATATACATATATATTTATTTTTTTTGGTTGTTTTTAGCGCAAATTACATACGCCCTATTATTAAATATATTGAATACATATTACGTATTTACATGTAATAATAATTATGCGATTTATAATATCTATTTAATATATTCAATATTATCTACTATTTAGTATTACCTGTGATGGAAAAAAAATGTTCACTTAATGTTTTTTTTTTTAGCCCAGCTGACGAAAAAATGGAAATCCAGTGGTTGGATAAAAGTTACTGCACAAATCAAATGAATATACCGCGTATGTATGTATTGATACATACCTAATGTAACCAATGACCATACGTCCCACTTTCGAACTAAGCGTCTCACTGTCCCAAAAGGACCTAAAAATATCTCACTTTAAGAAAAGTCGACTTGTGGTAGGTATTTATTGATCACAAATCACAAACATAAATTTATGTAGTATGCGTAAACTACATATATATATATATATACAGTAAAACACTAAAACCCATAGTCCTTAGATAAAAATGATTATTAATTATTATACTCTATTATTATTTATTGTTATTATTATTTGATTAGTATATTAGCTACGTTTTTCTGTTGTCATTTTTTATAAAAATAATTTATATTTTGTTCCAATAAAAAAATTGTTAATTTACACAAAATTATATGGTTTTCTTATTAAAATGTGCATGTTTCTTGCTTTGAACAAAAAAAATAAATAAAAATTATAGACACATTATATACATACCTATTATACCCTCGTAATTATTACTAATATTTTCATGTGAACAATTAATTTCTATGACCTATTCTTATTCTGATGTAAGATATACATATGATTTCTTTTATGAATTACTTAATGTTTCATTAATATGTTGCTGTATTGATTATTATGATTATTTTTTCAGTGATTACTGATTATTAATAGTGATATTTGATAAATATTCCGTTTTTATATATTTTTAAATGTAACAAATTAATTAAAATACACTATAGTTGATAAAATAAGGAAAAATAATTTTACGCTGGCAAACTCTTAATTCATTTTACTTACATTTTGAAATTTTTTACACATAACTTTTCGTAATTTGCTGAAACATATTGATTTATTGTATAATATATTTTTTGCATTAATTATTTATGGAGAAAAACAAGAATAATTCTATTAGTAAGTTATGGTAATACATTACAGTTTACCCATACCTAAATTTGATGACCTAATCATTAAACTATTAATTTTGACATTTAACAACGATACAAGCTCTTAGTACAATACAGTGATATACACAATATCCCACTCTAGGATACAACTAACACAAATTCTGGTCATTAAATAATAATAGTTTTGTGCGTTAGGTTCTATAGTATTTTTAAAAGCCTAGTTAGTAAGTACAGTTCATTCGTATCATATACATTCGTGGGATATTTAACATAAATATTTAACTGTTTTAATATTTATTTCAAAATGGTATGACACAAAATATTTAAATCATTATGAAATTGTTCAAAAATGTTATATGTGTACAATGTTTTAGAATCTTGAACAACTCTTGAAAAAGCTTGAAGCCAACTGTTTGTTACGTCAAATAGAGGTAACTCCTCCTCCGGCACTATCCAATTTTTATTGGAAAAATAATCATGGAGATAAATATAAGGTTTTCATTGACACACCAGATCGCTTTATTTATTATAATTTAGAAGAATACGATCGCTTCATGACCATTAAAGAAATTGATGGATACGGGTTAGTATACATTTATATTATATGTAATATGAAACCATTTATATTATACATTACACTAAATTATTATTCAGTACGTATTATAAAATTCAATATAGCTAATATATTTTAAAAATTTAAAATTCATAACATATATTAAAAAGTTGATCACCAGTAATACATTTTTTAATATCACTTTGCTTTACAAGCAGTGTGTTTTTATAAACATTAGGATACCTATTATAAATTCATAATAAATTATTCTCTAAAAAAACTACAAATAATTTTTATTACCATCGATTAGATGATGTTTATTGGGTTATTTTAAGAACCTTGTTCAATACCTGATATCTATAATAAAATTAAACAAATTATTTAAAATTTTACTTGAAAAATTAGAAAATGTTTATAACCCCTGGGTTCACCTCTATCGCCGTAATCATATCTACGTCTGGAGCTAGGTGAATTGGGTCCGCGATAATTTGGGTTCGTTTTGAAAGCAGTAAGTTGAGTCCCGGGTATAAAATGGTAGTAGGTAAGTTGGGTCCCGGCTATAAAAAGGTAATAGGTAAGTTGGGTCTCGACTATAAATCATTGGCGCAATTAGGTCTAAAATATTAAAAACTTAAAGCTTTAATATTTCATATTTATATAATTTACTTTTGAATAATTGTTACAATAATACGTCATATTGCAGACAGTGTGGTACACCGCCTGGACACTAATTAATTCTATGCATGATGTTAATGTGTGTATAGACAGGTATATTGTAAAATTTGACGTACTATATTATTTAGCGTATTGACATTTTTTTTCCCGGTTCACAATTTTTTAATCATTTATACCATATAATATTATTTATTGAGAACATAATATTATAAAAACCACATACATTTTAATTTATATATTTTTTTCCGGGGCTCAACTTGCCTACAACATTTTTTTTTCCGGGACCCAATTTACAGAGATAAGGTCATTTGGGACCCAATTTACCAATCCCGCTACGTCTTTTCGCCGTGTCGACACATTCCGCACAAATGCTATAACTCTCTCTCGTCCCGTATCCACCGTCAACATTGGTTGCCTCTCAAACGTGCGTACGTATGCACATAAATATATTATTTACATTGCATACTATAATTATTCATTATTATTATTATATTATTGTATATATTTTTTACGCATTTCACGCAACGCGCTATAAAACAATATTATTCACCATTTTACACTATCTATTCTATTTACCGTCACCTTTCCCGAAACGTTAGATGCAAGTTGGAATGGTTAATATTGCAATACTTGCAAAAAATTAATCTGATACATTCATTCTTGTTTCTGTTTGCAACTCTTTCAGAATTGACTGTATATACAACTTAGAGACATTTACTTTAATCATGTGTTAATTATCCATAATTATCTTTGTAACTATAATAGTTAGTAACGTAGTATTATTAGGTTAGTTTTACACCGTAAAGGTAATCATATAATTTTTTAAAAGATGGAAATTTGTGAAAAAGTGTGTACTATTAGCTGTATCAGATATATACACTGAAGATCAACCATTTATTAAACAAATAGAGTTTTTAATTGCCAATTCAGCTGAATGGAAAAACAATGCAACTGTTAACTCGGAAGAAGCTAATGAATCTGGAACGCATGATAAAAATATGAATATACGTCATTTTCGTCTAACTAAGTACTTTGTGAATGACATAATAAAATGTCCAAAGGAGAAAAGGTGCGTATATCTAATTTATATATTATTACATTTATTTTCATTTATTCATTTTATATATTTTTGTATTTTTTACACGATTTTAAAGTGTTTTATTTTTTTATTAGCTAGTTGCTCAATATGTTAAACAAATTTATATCAAGAAATCTTTACATATTATATAACTAAAATAATTAAAATATCATATCATTTATTATCAATTTTGGTAACCTTTTTAATAAATAGGTATTTTATAATTGTTCAAATATTTTGAGAATTGCATTGTGTAAAGTAAATAATAAATATATTTGACTTCAATTCAATAAATAAAAAATTATTTTTCGTTTTATTTTATATCGTCAAAATCTTAACAAAATTTAATAAACTCATAAGAATTCAGAAAATTTTTGCAGCTAAAAATTTATAAAGTTTTAAATTTTTATAACTAAAGTACAAAATTTAATACAAAAGTCCTCATTAGTAATTCATACTGAAAACAAAAACCTAAAAAATATAGAAGCATAATATTTAAAATATAAATAACGATATTCATTATTTTATTAAAGTTAAAAAACATTATTTAAACGATATTTTAACATTTTAAAACATTACATATATCATTCTGAGTACAATATAAAAGTTATAGATAAATAAAATACATTTTTATTTTAATTAGTTGAATTTTTGTTTGTTGAACTAGAGGATTATTTGCAAAATTTAGCGATATATTAACAATATGGCCAGAAAATGTTAACGCAAAAATAATGGATGAAAATATGAACATTGCATTTGAATTAGCGGCAAAACGTTTTGCCAATGATGTCAATCATAGAGGTTTTTCTTATTATAGTCACTAGCAGTACACGTGTATCCAATAATCGTCAACAAGAAAAATTTTACACTGAAATAAATATACAATATATAGTTTCTTACTTAACGACCGTAATCAGTAATCACTTTAATTATTATATATATATAGCCTTTGCACTAAATATTAATTCTGAACGGCTTTTATTAACCACGTAAACCTACCTACACAGCATACACACACACACACACACCATAAGCCCTAAAATTAACATTATAATATTATTTTTAGATTTTTATTTGTGTGCTTTGCCTTTAGTGAGTAATAATTTTGTCCGTACAAAAAAAACCAATATTAATATTCACTTCTTAAAAAAACTATTTTATTTTTATAATTAACTATAGTGAATAATATATATATATTTTTTAATAGTTCTTACTTTGAAAATACGTAAAAAATACTTCTAAAAATTGGCTGTTGTTTCTTTATGCATTTACAATAACAAAAACACTAAAATAATATGCTTTGGCTTAAAGCAAGCAATAACAATTCTGTACCTACTAATACTTGTATTTTTTTTTCTTATTAAATAGTATGATCTACCTGATAGCGAGCTCAATCTATGTGATTTATTAATTGCTTAATCTTTTGCAATTGTGTGCAATTGTTTTTGTGTGTGTGAATTTATTATTGTATCCAACTATAATCCATAATTAATCATAATATTTTATTGTTAGTCATAAAAAGTCATATTATTATTTTATTATACTGTAATATTTTTAGTATATTTTATTCTTATACTTATTTATTTTTTGTTCATTATACATTCAAATTATATTTATATTAATAATTAATACAAATCTTTGTTATAATTGTTATATTAAAACCACGTCTAATTATTTAACAAGTCTTTTTCTTGTTGTTGTATGTTATTATTTCATATTCATACATAAGTACATAACTATTAAATAATAACACTTGTTTTTCAATAGTGTAACTGATTGATTTTTTTAATTTATAATTAAGAATATTAAGTAAAAAAACAAAAAAAAATGAAAAATAGCATATTATCAGTGTTGGGAATAGATAACTTAAATATTATCTAGATAAAGATAGTAGATAAAAATTACTTAAGTATCTAGATAATAGATAATAGATAAATGGAATTTATCTAGATAAAAAAATAGATAATCATATTTTTGTATTTTTTATATCATGTAAAAACTATGCAGACATGCAGAAGCTTTACCAGAAACTTCCCAAGATAGGGGAAACCACTAAATTAAATACCAATTATTAGTGGCGTATCTACGAGGAGAGGGAAAAGGGGTCATACTCGCCCAACTCACGGAGACTAAATTTTGTAAGCAATAGATATAACGTATTGTATATAAAATATATCTGCTTACTAAATATGTCCATTAAAATCTTTATATCTCCCCCACCCCACAACCCGTGGAAAAATCCTAGATACTCTATTGCCATGTACTGTACTATTTAACCTTACCTGTAAACTTTACAAACCAAGCGGAGTGACCGGTTCCTTCAACCACCCAAAATAAGCCACTAGAACTATTACAGATGTTCCAGTCAAAAACCGCTTCATACTTAAATATTTTTAATATCACTAATCAAAACCCGAAATAAGGATAGGTAGAAACCTAGATAACAACAATAAGAGTACCAGAGAATGACAAATGACAATAATAATATAATATAGCTGCAGTTGTACAATCAACGTCTACGGGCCGTGTACCGTGTAGGAGACAGACGCGTATGTTCTCATGGATAATTTCAAAAGATATAGGAACATAATATTATATGCAGTAATAAATGCATAACTATAATTAAAAGGTATTTACAGAAATACGCTATTATTATTATAAGTAATTAGTATTTTATATATTATATCATATAAAATGTTGTGTTTTCCATTATCGAACAGAAAATATAACTAATAAGAAATGACCTACACAAAGCCGCCCGCAGAAATTTTTTCTCAGGGGGGTCCAGCGAAAAATAATACATTTACCATAAATTCTGTTTTTTTATATCACATGGTAAAAAAATTATTTATTTATTTTAATATTGCAAATGTCACCTTATCAGTAATCAGTCCTCCTTATCGCCCTCCAAGACGCTATATAAAATGCAAATAAATGCAATAAAAATTAAGTAATATCTAGATAAGATAATAGATAACAATATTTTCATCTAGATAAATCCCAACACTGCATATTATATTATATATATTATCAGTAAAATAAAGTAATAAAAACTATTAAGTTGATAAAGTATACTTATATTATGTTTTATTATTAGATCATAAATTATATACTTATTAAAATACGACATAATTGTAGAAAATATTTACCAAACTTTTATATTAGGTGGTAACGGTAAATCACCGGTAAAATGATCAATACTTTAACGTAACGTAGACTGTTTACACGGCGCTGTGTATAGGCAATTTAAAGCCATTCGTTTATTATTTAGGCACTGCTTGTCTGCTTGATTTACAATAATTGTAATAATTATCATATTTTATGATAATATATTTGGTACTTTGATTTTTCATTATGTATAACATAGAAATAAACGAATAAACCGTATAGCTCCAATATAAAAATTAATGATGAAGAAGTCATAAAATACTCGAGAGTACCTACTTATTTAAAATTTGCATTTAAGACAACATTGTATCCATTTGTGTTATTTCACTCTTACACCCGCGAAAAATAGTAAATTTACGAATTGGATTCTTAAAACAATTTATTTCTTATCATTATAAGAGTGAATTTCCTCGATATTGAATATTTAGTGAAAGATATAAAATATGATAGATGATTTTTTTTTCGTGTTTTCACTGTAAAATTAGAAAAATGTACCTATAATTAATAGTTTTAAGTAAATTGAATAAATTTTTTTAAATAAATCGCTAGAATACAGCTTTTATTTTCTAATTCTATTTGTAAAATTTACTCTAATATATTAACTATAAATATGCTTTAATAAGCATACGATACGCGTGTGTAAGACACAGATACGATACACACGACTCCTCTAAATATATTATTTATTTAATTATTTATCAATATTATTGAAATGTCATATACGTATACTAAACACCTAAACATTTTTCAATTGAGAATTCGTTTTCTATTTATACATATACATTATAAACTAATTATATACAATTCTTATAATACGGTTTGAAATATCAACTTTCCAGTACGCATATTGTATGCATTTTCTACGCATATTTATACACGATATCATAATATTATAATATACTACATAATATGAAAAGGTTCAAGTTGTCTCGTCGAAAAAGTCTTGAGATAACGCTGCACGCTGTGATCTATTCGAATTTCGAACACGTGACCACCAACACGGAACAGTTCATCGGTCAACCTCGATACACGCATATAATGTGTAATGATCAACGTGCAGTATGTACCGTGTGCTTTATGAACGTATCGCATTATCATTTTATCACCGTAATGTGTTAACATCGATATATCGCCTAACCGTACATGGTGTGTACGTACACACGTACCATCGTTCGTCGTACGCGTTATAATAATTTATCACAATATACATCACATATTATATTATGTAGCGCATCACGTGTATGGCGCAATACTAGTATTATAATAATAAATCGGACTGCTATCACCGATGCCTCCATCGCCTCCTACTTCCCCCCCCGCGATGATAAGACATCGTAAGCAAGACGTATTGCCGCAGCTCGTCACGCGTGACGGGAACACGCGCAGTTTTCACGTTGAACGCGTACCGTTTCGACGTCGGTTTTCCATCCGTCCAACCGCTCGCTCGGCTCTCCCGCGGCACTCGCATACGACGACGCAATATTAATCATAATTGTCAAATACATCGAATAAACGTAACGCTATCGGTTCCGACGCCAACCGACATCATCGATCCTCCCGCGACATTGCGTACAACACTATAAAATACACACACACACACATATACTTATAAAGTAATATTATAGGTCACCACATCTGGCGGAGAAGACTTTTGGTTCCGTGCTGCCGGTCGTCCGTGGCATAGCCGGCTACTTACTCAAATAGTGCGCGAGCGAGCAGAGCGTGCGGGTGGCGGTCCCGCAGCGAAATCCGCGCGAACCTGCACATACATACACACATACACCGTGTAATCTAACACGATGACGGTCAGTAAAAAGTTGAACCGGAAGAAGACGATGGCGGGCGTGGTGCGTGAGTCGTCCATGTTGGACAGGGTGCTGACCACTACTGATCTGACAGCGTTGGGCGTGGGCAGCACCATCGGCGTGGGAGTGTACGTCTTGCCGGGAGCCCTATCGAAGTACGTGGCCGGTCCCGCCGTCGTTGTATCGTTTTTCATCGCAGCCGTCGCTTCCGTGTTTGCCGGTAAGTATCACAAAGCGCACAGATGCGTTAAGACGAGAAGAAAAGTATCTTAAAGTAATTCCAGTTATTCGGCGGTAATTGAGTCAAAGTCGTATGTAAAACTGGCCTGTGTTGGTTACAGTTCATATCATTGCGTTTCGATTAATGCACCTATTAATACTGGAGTTCAATAATTGACTTGCGTTATATAAATATTTAATATATTACGTGGTTTTTTTTTTTTTTTAATTTTATATTTGCGTTCAAAGTTCATTACTCTTAGGTTTGTTGTTGAAAAACATTTTTTTTTTTTTCATAATATACATATATATATTGAGATTAATTTAAAAACAAGAAATCAAAGAATTTTTAGTATATTAAAACGTACGTAAGTTATTAATCTACGTCTCTTAACTTTAAATTATATATTTTAAAGCTCTAATAACGTCAATTTCATTAATTTTATATCTAAGTTGATTACTTGCGATGGCTGTATAATTGACAGATAAATGTTAACATTTCACTCCGTGAAGGGTAAAAATACAGATATTTAATATCTATTACAATATTGACTAAATACTAAAATTTAAGTTAAATACATCAATATATGAAATACGATTAAATAAATATAATAATGTGAACATCAACACTTAGTAAATTAATAGTATGTTATTTTGATTTATTTGGAAAGTCACGATAAAAAATCAAAATTAGAAATTACTTGTTTGGAAATTTCAAAAATTACTTCTTTAACACTAATTATACTATTTATATCCGATTTAATATCTATAAAGATGGTATTTGGCACATTTTAGACAACTTTAACGATTTGTTTTCAAAATGTTGCATTCTTAAAACAAAAAAAAATAATTTTTACATGAGTATTCTCAGTAAAGTACAGTATTCTAATAAAGAATTTTTTATTATTATTAATATTTATTGAAAGGTATAAACAATTTTTTATCTAAAAAACAATAAGAATATGTGATAATAGTTAGAATTCATTTTTTATACGAGTAAAATGATGTACTACTCTAACTTGTTATTAATTTTTCTTTTTTTGTTAATTTAAATTTTTAATCATTAAACTTTAAGTAAGTCACAACACCAGTTTCTTTTAAACCTTCTTAGGGGATTCCCAGAAAATTTAAGAAAGACAAAATTAGATATGAAAGGGTTGATATGAGACGAAAGTCTGAAGTATATGGAATATTATATTATATACCAACATACAAGTAGATAAACAGATATTAGATACGTACATAAAGATTTATTCTTAATTTCAAACATGTATATAAAATTCTTGGATATAGTCATAACTCATGACATATATAATTATG